GATATGTGACTTTGAGTTGACTATATGTATTAAGGAAAACTGCCTTTATTTGGGGAAAGTGTTAAACGAGAATGTTGGGATTAAGCTCAGGTAATGCTGACACTGAAGACAGGGAAAAGAGAGCAAAGTTACTGAAGCTGAGAGAAGACAATAAAGGGGGAGGAATTATGAATAATAACCAAGGCAGTAAAATAATGAAATGAATGATAAAGACACAAACTAAAATCCAAAATTTCTAAAATTTAAAAACTTTTTTAAAAACACCCCATCAAATTAAAACATTTAAACTACCCAAAATGCTACTGGAAAGGGAAATACAGGGTTTAAATAGAGGTTTGAAAAACATTTTGGGTTTTGTGACTTAAAACATTACTACCCATCTCCCGAGCTTTTGTAATATGATAATCAGTGATAAAATTTGCTAGACTGCCCTCATTGGAGGGCAAATAAACATTTGATTTTCAGAAATAGGAACACCGGAAGATTGGCAACACCAAAGAAGTCAATGAACAATTTAAGATTAGACCTTAGGATACACTTTGTGTTATGAATCTGTAGAGGTGTAATTTGAAAATATTTTACTTCCATGTCAGTGGAAGGACTCTACAGATGTAACCGGCATTTGACTGAGAACCCTGCCTTCCTGATCCCATGCTTTAGGCACTACACTGATGTTTCTTCCAAAGTATGGACATTTTCAGCAGCTTTCCTGGCAAATTTTGCTAGGACAACAGGTTTGGAAGGAGTTAATGGCAAATGAAAATCATTCTCTGCAAAGTTCTGGGCAAGGATCTTTCACCTCCTTTATTGCAATAAGCAATAGCATTTTCCTGAAAGCAAACCAAAAGTGTTTACTATTTCTGAAAATACGTGAACTGTGTTTCAATTACTTTTACCTTGGGTATATCATTACTAAAACCAATCTTTCTGCAGTACAGGCCACTTCACGCAGCTGTGACAACAGAAAGCACTCTTCAGCACAGGGGTATAAAAGCAATTCCTTTTGCAGCTGTACTTGCTTCAGATATTATTAAAAAGTTGGAACTTTGAATGTCCCATTTATTTGAAATTTGATACTTATGTTGTTTTTGGTCTATGACTATTGCTGCAGCTAAGAAAAAGGAAAATGAATCCAAAACTATTGGATCAGGAATTAGCAAACATGACCATTGAAGCCTGGGACATGTATTATAATGTTAATCTCTTCCCATCATATTTTGAAAAATGAAACTATTACTGGATAAGGTTTGTGGACAAATCCTTTAGGAAAAACAGAAAGCACAAATAAAGAGTTCCTTTTGTATTCTCTGCCTCCAGGGTTGCGTTGTGAGAAAGCTGAAAGTTACATTGATTCAGTTGTTTTCTGAAGATATTATGAAACTTGCATCTCTGTTGAGATGTTCTTTTCAGTGTAGAAATGACTACATTACACAGAGAACAATTAAAATAAGCCAGATTTGGTGTAATAGTTTTCAGTCTTCCATCTTAATCAGTTTTGTGCTACATATTTTCACAGACTTGTGAACTAGTATAAAATCCCACTTTTGAATTAACTTCTCATGAAGATAAATCCTCAGCTGGGTAGCACTGTAAACAGTTCTCCATGCACCAAATAGGCCAAGGGAGAAGAAGATAGAAAAGTGGTCAGCCTAGATCCAAAGAGTTAATTGGAAAACAAATGTTTTTCTATTCCTGGTGCTTCTCTCACTATGCTTTCAATTGCATCATGCAGCAATCTCATTTATTTTTCCCTGAATGTCCACATGAAACTAGAGGGGCACAACTCTAAACATGCAGAGGCAACTATCTCCATGCCATGTGGAAGACTGGCACTAGTCCAAAATCCATATGCTGAGCACCAGTTCTTTTGATTTACCGGTTTGCTCCCGTTGCCCTACCTTGCCATCAACAGAGATGTTGCTTGAATCCCAGTGTTCGCTGCTGGGAAAAGCATTTCATTCCCTTCTGGTTAACTGGTTACAGAGAATGTTTCCAGTTCATTTCTCTCCTGCTTCCCACCTCTGCAGAAGATCTGTCGAAATCTGTCCAACATGTCCGTTAGTCTACTTTTTGCTTGAGTAACCAATCAGTTGGACTATTGAGGAATTCCAGGATTGCAAGACTGGCCCTGAACAGTTCCTAACTGGGCTGAAGTACGTGTGCAGTCTTACTGATGAATTTGTCAAGGCACCAGTGTGCCCTTCTGTGTTTCTACTGTTGGAGTTACAATTTTTTGCCAAACCTCCCGTCCTATCTGCAAAAATCTTGTCGCCTGGCAACACGATGGAAAGCCTTCATTCATTTACACAGAACAGTCTGTCTAAACGACATTTCAACCACACATGGTTTCAACTTTGGTAGAGGAGTGGAGAACAAGGAATAGAAAATACATCCCAGAATCCTTCATTAATGGAGAGAACAGCTTTTAAATGAAATCAAGCAGTATCTGGTTTTATCATTCATTTATTTAGCAAAGAAAAGAATGAATTCAAATACCCCACACAATGAACACATATCTATTCCCTGATATCGAGATGCAGATTTGCTTGTGAACAATTGTAAATGAATCAATTTTTGACACAACTGCAGTCATCTTGTACTGTGCATGGATTTGTGCAGAAGCTATAGATTTTGTGCTCAATCCTGTAAACACACATTATAAAAAGCAGCTTACCTCTGCACCTTTGAATTCTCTGTGGTTACTTATGTAAAATCACACCCGAGCTCAAGAGCCAACCTAGATTGTGTTAACCTAAAGAACATCTAAAGAACAGCCAAAATCAGGAGTGTATCTCTAAGACTCCCTACATTGTTAGAAGAGAGACACAAGCCCTCTCCAGGAGGCAACTCTGGCCAACAAAATATGTGCTCCTAGATTAGACATGGGAGAAGGGTCCCATTTCCACTGGACATAGCAGGTGCTCATGAAAGCTACAACTGTAACCTGGCCAGATGCCTCAGGCAGACTGAGATAAACACGAACACAAGTGTTTACAGAATTGGATCTCATACAGCAAAGCCATTATGTACACAATTAGCTTCAAGAATGTGATTATGTTATGTTCATTTTAATAAAACTGGTCCCATATTTAGAGAAAAAGAAGTGCACATATATATTCTACATTTATGAAGGAAAAAAATCTTGAATCATTTTTCCCATTGACATTTTTGTTGCACCTGAGGCCTCTTACTTTCTTTTCTGGTTTGAGCAGCCATATGGTCTCAAGATCTGAGAACTCTTATTATTTCATGTAAGTACTGTGATAGCTCTTGATTTGTGTATTCGCTTGGTATTTCTCTCGAGGTTAGTGTGGAATTCCAGCAGAGCAAACTAAATACACACTGTCCTATACTCATCTGAGTTTTCAACCAGCACTGCTTTATAGCATGTAAAACAAAGCTAAATAACCCCCATTCTCTCTCCTTCTCTTAGGGTCTTATGAAGACCCTAATCCTAGTAAGAAATTTCAGGATTAGTTTTAGGCAAACCACATTGCTCTAACAGCAGGTGAGTGTGGCTGGCTGAAAAAGCTTTCAGCTAAAGTAACTGCACAACCACAAAGGTCATCAGACTCAAAGCAAAGTACAAGATAAATCTGCAAGCACAGACATCGATTTTCGAAGCAACTGAGCAACAGACTGTATGTATCAGACACTAAATTAAGCCCCTAAAGTGTTCTTACGTGCAATTTTAACTTGGGTTAGCCAATGTAGACTGTCCAGGATCAGACTTTGCAATCGTGCTTTCTCTTCACTGTGTGCAACAGAGCTACACAGGAAGAAATGCTACAGATGTAGCCTGAGAATTTTGATTCACCTGGCACAATATTCATGTTCAAAATAGAAAAATATTTTTTTTTAAATTAATGCAATCAGTGCAGAAGTGGTTTAGGATTATTAAATACTGGTATCAGAGGTAATATGTTTATTTATTTACCCAGAACAGAACACTTTCCCCATGCCAAAAATACATGCCTGCTAGTACCACATAGTATTTAAGGGTTAAGGGTGTTAATTCTCCCTTTCCAAGAACTAATCCTGTACGAACTAAATTTTGCTCTTGTACAAATCTTATTGGCTTAAATAAAAACTGCAGGCAAAGATTTGCACTTTGTTACATTTTTGACAAAATAAAACTAGAGTTCTCATGCAGAAAACTACTTTGCCCCCAAATATGTGTAGCCTATTTAAAAAAAAAAAAAAAAAAAAAGCTAAATGAAGTAAATTTAAATCTAACAGAAAACTGCACAGCTCCTTGTGTTAAGAAAGACTGTTTCAAACTACCTGGACAGCTATGCTGAAGTCAGAAGGTGCAAATACTGATAATTGCGCATCTAAAATTATCAAAGACACAAAAATCTAATGATTTTAAAACTTGTTGTCTAAGAACCTAGCTTGACGAGGAGAACAGGTGATCAATATTTCTCATTGAAGAAATGTAAAATGTTCACATTTGCCCTGAAGGTATGTGAAAATCAGACCTAAAGTTGTTTTAGATAGAAGTCTAAATGTACATCTACACACAATTTAGTATAGCGCAATTTAGGAAGCTAAATGATAGAAAAAAGAAAAAAGAAAAAATCAAAAAATATATATATCAAAAGACATTTCTCTGACAAGTTGGCATGATCTTTAAATGAAATCATACTGGAGTTATCCAAAGAATTGGAATTCCGGAAAAACTCCTTTGAGAGATGGAAGTGTGAACAGACTGGGCATCTGCTAACTGCACTTAGCCTATGACTGTGCAGAATTAACCTAGGGTATTATCGTCACATATATAATGTGTCTCTAACATATGAACCTACCTGTGTAAGAAACGGAAAATAGATCAATGTAGAGATAGGCGTACCTCAGAACAACTGAAGAGTTAAAAAAAGGCTAATTTCAGATAATTTTAATAAAAAAAAAGATTAAAATAAAAACTCAGTTTTAATATTTTAAAAATATTGGACTCATAACTAATAATCTAAGTATAAAGTCCAGAAGCCAGACTAATGTGCTTTGAATACAGTGGTGGAGAGGAACAGGTTTTTTCTGCATTTGTGTGAATATACTGGTGTAACCCTTATGTTGTTTTTTTTCTTGGCAGTGACAGTAATATAGTTTTTATTTTCTTTATACTTTTTTAAATTTAAAATTTTAACTTTTGGCATGAACAGTGTGATTCACATACCATGCTGGTTACCATTTGGAGAGTTTTTCCTTCTCTATCCATGCCACTGAGTTTCCTTGCAGAGAAAATTCCCTCTTTCCCAAAGGTAATTGGCATATCTGGTAATTTCTTCCTGGAAAAATAAATCTAATGTACAGTACAATCACAAATTATAGAGAACCAGTGTTATCACACTTTTTAATGTGAATTGGTGTGAGGGTAGAAGCTCTTTCTTTTGACACAGTTAACATTATCAAGGGTAACTGTTCAGTTGGAAAAATTGGAAAGGTGCTCCCAATTACTTTCATAAATGGTAAATGCGTGGTCACTTTACAGTTTTTCGGGAACACTTGCTTTGCATTTTTCTCATTTTACTATAAAAGAGAAATGGGAAGCATAGTAACACATTTGGATCTAGCCCCACTCAAAAATGTTGCTCACTGCCATAGCTAGATATGGTGCTTACCTTTGCTAAGTAAATTGCTGGATTACAAGCAATGCTGTGATGCTGCCACACATTATCCATGTTGCTTGGTACCATTTTTTACATAAATAAGAATTATTATAAAGTGTACTTTTTTTCTGTTATTTGTCTATCATAGCATAAACTAATGATCCAGTACAATGGAAACATTTGCACTGTGCTTCTCCATGCACACATTCCTGATATTCTGTGGTTGTGATCTTTGCACCAAATAAGTTCAAAAACCAAAAAGTCCAATTCTCTAATCCTTAATATTCATTTTCAATTTCTTCTCACAAGATTCTGGAAATGGCAAATGTCACTTTACTAAAAAACACTCTGTAAAATCTGACCCAAAACTCTGCCCTTATTTTTTAATTGTACATGTGGAATTTCAGTTACAAAAATAGTAATGTCATGAATGTGGACGAAAACTGGGAGAATAAAAATGAAATGGTACAAAATGTGCAGATCATTTGTGTTTCCTCACCTGCCACTAGGAAAGAAATTAAAATGGATAATTTAAAACTCAACCAGTATTTTAAATATTTACATCAATAAGATCCAACAAGATATGCACTTAAAATGCTTTAACAATGCTCCCTCAAGAGCAGATTAGTTTGGATGACACACATTGGTAAGATGAGACAAGGATTTGCAAATGCATACGCATTTTCTGATTTTGCTTTGCTTTGTCATAAACATATATATGAAGTCGAAGCTGGAAAGGGAAAAGCAGTTCCAAGATAATGCCTACATAACCGTGGAGAGCTTGAGGCAGTATGCGAAACTTAGTGCAATTGCACCTTTCACTGAGTGGCATCACCAGGAGTGTTGCAGCAGACCAGACAAGTGGGCTCCGTATGCACATGCTGAGGAGAGGAAGCCTCTGGACCCCCATAACTCATCCAAATCTGCTGTAGTAATCCCGGCTTCCCAACATGTGGAAACATCCCAATGCGACTTTCCTATCTGTCCTCCTTACCTTTCTGACACATCCCATGAAGTAAAGCAGGTGTAGGCTTTAGGTCACTTGACTTGCAACTGGAAGCCACCTACCCTGAAAGTTTTGTATTTCACTACAAGATCATATCACTTGTAGGGCCTAATTTTTCACACCCTTACTCTTTACACAGCTGAACGGCACAAAAGACCCTAGCCTGAATGATTTACAGTCCAGAAAGATTAGGTCTGGAGAGCATGAACCTGCTACAGAACATCACTGAGCAACTAGATTTCTTCTTGACATTTTTCTCCACACTCTGTGAGCTGGTTTTGGTGGTAGGACTTTCAGTTAGACTCCACAGAGGGCTCCATTGCTAACTCCTGGAAATTAAAATGTAATGCCCAAAATAAAATTAGATTTGTAACCCTGGAAGTCTCCAGGGGTAAAAGATATTTTTTTTCTTTTTCTAAAAGCTTCAAAATCAGCTAGCCCCTTGTTACAGAAATCTGCCTGAATGCTTATGAAACTGAGTGAAGCAATGCCTTCCTCGGGAGGGAATCAGAAAGACGTAGGGGCTAGAGCTGCAACCTGTACTGAAGGCCAGCCTGCAATGAGAACATCAGGTCACAAACAACTGTTTGGGGGTTTGGCAGCAATGGGACACTGATGGCTTGGATCGTGCTTGAAATGTCTCTGTGCTTCATCTCTGAAGCCTTGATCACATGAGCAGTCATGTAGCACAGGCCTTAGGGACTGGGGAGTTACAGAAGGCCAAGAAGATACACAAGCCCCTTAGTATTCATCATAATTATTGAAATCTGTAAAATAGGCATTAGAATAAGTCTTTGCAGTAAGATGGGGATTGAAGTATTTGTTTCTCTCCTCCAGAATCAAGTTGTTTTTGTTAAATGCCTGAARAAAAAAAAAAAAAAAAAAGAAAAGAAAATAGGATAAAGGAAAGATAACATACTACTCTGTTAAGACAAATCTTGCGGCAAATATTTGTGAGTCAAACAAAATGCATCCAGAAACACTGGTACTTTTGCAAAAACTTGCATTTGTGTTTGCTCATAAATGTTCTTACAAAAAAGCAATGCTATTCAATAGAGTATAGCTATGCATATAGCTTTTCTCTAGTATTATAAGACCATATATTCTTTTTAATCATTCCTAATCAGTTCTTCCATTGTTAGAATGATTCACTCATATTTTTATTAAGAACATTTTCTCTTAACTGCATCTATATATACAGTAATACGTAGAGGAAATGTCTGAAAGTTTTAAGAACTTAAATATCATTTTATAAAAATGACACAGGTACTTAGAATAAGTTTTTTAAAATATAGCTTGTTATTGCATGGATGCAGAGAAGTATTTAGTGGGATTTGAAAAAGCTTTAACTTAGGCATACATTCCTCCACTGATGACAAAACCTAGGCTTTTCTTTCCATTTCTAATAAATTTTTCTATAATGTCTTTAATTAGAAATAAAAAATGCAGAAACAGAAAACTGGGTTCTCAAGGATTTATGAAAAATACTCATTTACAAAAAGCTTTGCAGCTACACGAATAAACTGCATGATCTGAAGATGCTGAGCCAGTTATTTTTGGGATGCCCAGTCTTCCTTGTTTCAGCTAGTTAAAAAGGTCATAACAAGAAAATAGTATTTCAGGGACAACTGCATAATACAGATACAATGCCAGTGTCTCAGCTAATGTATATCTCTACTGCTCATTTTTAGAATATTCTAGGTATAAACAGTACCTGATAATCTGATGTATATTCACCAGATAAAATCTCCCAAAGACAAAGCAAAGGAGAACAATCAATGCTGTGACACTATATCATTTATCCCAAAGGATGATCATCAGTATGTGTCATGATGGTTCTTAATGGCCCTATTTACCTCTTGAACAAGCTGCTAGGGAACATGACTACGAAAACAAGCAAACAAAAAAAAACCCTAACTAGTGGCATGGTTTCTTTCAAGGAACATTGTATAAATTGCACAAAAAACCCCTAACTTTCTCTGTAACTGGGGTTGACAAAGCAAAGGATCTGCAACTATGATACTTCTAGGGAAATCTCCGTTTTTTTGTTGTTAAGAGTCAGCAAAATCTGACTCCAAATGTCATTGCAGAAAACCAGTAGGGAGAATTTTGGGGAAGCTGTATAATTATCATATATGCTGTGCATGACAGGGCTCTCAAACCCATTGCTCACCTTGATGGCTTCTACAGAGTCATATTTGTCCAGTTTGTTGATATGGTTGGTGATGCTGGTATTCAGAGGGGCTGGAGATACAGGGTGGATGACAGTTGCGTCATGGGACTGCTGCTGATAGCGTTGGCAGTAGGTGTAAACAAGCAGGGTAAGAAGGCAACCAAGGATAGAGCTACTTAATCCCACTGCGATCATATGAAACATGTTGAACTCTGTATAGTGGACAGCAGAAGAGAGCCTTAGTTTTAAGTAATATCAAAAGCTTCCGAAAAAAAAAAAAAAAGAAAAAAGGTAGGGTAGTGCTTGATTTAAAGGAGTTTCTCAGAAATGTCTCGACTTCAAATTCCAAACATTTATCTCTACAGAAGCAAATGCATTTTATTTCCTTGGGGGGATCATTATGAAACTCTTACATATCATATATCTCTCTAAGTAGTAAAACTGAGATTTTTGAAATGCGCTTAACAAAGAATCCAATAATCCTATCCAAATAAGATAAATGTTAAATCCTAAGTGTTCCAAAACTCATCAAAACTTTTGTGCACATGCTATAATGTGATATATATAAAAATTATGTATGTAATGTACATATGTGGATTATTTTCAGTGAACTACAGCATCTCTTTTTCTGATGTAGTAGAACATGCGGAGTTCTTTCTTGTGCATAGTGACTTGAGGCAGGAAAAAAACAAATTCCCAAGTCTTGGAATCACAGGTCTTGCTTTCCCTAAGATGTTTTCAGCATCATCTTTATTTGAAGCATACCCCAGGCCTACCGCTTTTCCATCCCCTTCTTTGTCTCACTATCTTTTTATTTTTGAAGTGTGGCTGATTTGTTCACTTCTCCAGCCTTCAGGGGTTTTTTTAAATTTATTTATTTATTTTTTTTTTTACTTTGTCTATGTAGGGGGAGAGTATGAAAGAAATGGTAGCATTTAAGGGGAAAATGGAGAGAAGAGAAACTCCACAGGAGTCTCTCTCAGAATGCTTTTAACCACACCAGCCAGAGAGGGTAAGCAATTGAGACTGCAGCAGAGTCCAAACCTGGGACTCTTCCATTGTTCTGCCCTTAGAAGATACTATAGCAAATTCTCTCTATCTATGTAAGAGGTAAAGCTAAAAAAGCTCACTGCTGCATGAAATTGTAGAAGGGAATCTAAATTGCCTATGGCTCTGAAAAGGGTTCAGTATATGGGTGACAATTTGGGGATCCAGCACCTAAGTTAAAACTTTTACATGCCTACCAGGAATTTAGGAACATGAAAGAAGACTTAGGCGAACAAGCACACTGCCTGTTATGTAAAATATCACTGAAATATCCTTCTATACTTTTACAAAATTTTCCCACTGTTTCCCACTAGGCAAAATGCTTTCAGAGTTCCACTTCTAATTAGGAAATCAAATCACATTATTCTGATAACAGTAGGGTAATGCAATGCCATACATATCCCTACATAACCAGCATATTCCTATGTTGTCCATAATTAGGTTAAAAATATAGCTTACCTGTGCACAGAAGAATACTAGAACCAGCTAGAGTTATGATTACACAGACTAAGGTGAGAGCTCAACACACAAAAAAGCTCTTTATTATTAATAATAATAATTATTATTATTATTATTATTATTATTATTTATTCTGATGCAGTCTGATCTATTACTGGGTTAGCAAGATACTCACTTGGAGTTCTAAAGAGAGTTGTGAAATTCTTATCCTGCAAAAGGTGCAGCAGCTCTATAGACGTTGATCTGCTCTTAACTAGCATGTGATATGAATTTTCTTTTTGAGGAAAAAAAAAGGCGACTGGCATAAGGGAAAAGAAGCACATAAAATCATCCAGTAATACATTCTCTTGTCTCAAAGGTTGGCAATGGCAGTTGGATGTTTAATGAGGAATCCTTTACCAACTATATCTTTTCCTAGGCAAGTGTAAATAATGAGAATGTAGCATTTAAAATGTGGAATAAAACTATGAGAGTGCAAAAGGTGAAACAAATGGAAACAAGACAGAATCAGTAATTCAGCATGTAATACGTAGATAAGACAGAATTTAAAAGCTTACCGCCACATCGTTTCTCTTCTATACTGCTGGATCGTGCCACTGTTATTTCTAGAAAAATAAATAAGGTGGTTATGTCACAGAGGTAAAATGTTATAGACAGCTACTATTTTTATTAACAGAATAAGAATTTCAAAAGTTATTCTACTGTGCTTGCTCCAAGTCAGAACTACATAAAAAGGATTTTCACTATGCGGTGGAATTAACAGAAAGGTCCCATGACACTCTCAGGTTTCTCAGTTTCCCAAGCAAAATCAGCAACGCATTTTTCACTCTTGCCTCAAAATATATTTGAAATTAAACAGATCATGTGAAATGAGATTTTCTTTTTTTTGAGTAGGAAAAACATGTTGAGAAAGCACTGCATAGCTGAGTGATAAAATTGATGTAAAGTTCATTATTTTGCCCGGAGCAGAACTGGATTCATTACTTCTAGGAGTCACATGTATTCCTAACATGAAAAGACAGAATGTAAACATCTTCACAAGAGAAGACTGCTAATTTCATGAAGTTTGACTAAAAAATAATAAATTGTGATCCCAGTCTGTCTTGACCACTCTTATTTTGGAAGTATTTTGAATAAATATTCCAAAGAAACAAAGTAGCCCTAAGCCATGAGGGACAGTAAGCAAAACAGGTAAATAGAACTTTATAAATCCACAGGTTGTTCACGCCTTGAACACTGTGTGCAGTTTTGGTTTTCTCATCTCAAGAATGCCTCTGGCAGAACTAAAAAGAGTTCAGAGAAAAGCAGCAATGATTGTCATAGGTATGCAATGGCTTCTATATGAGCAAAGACAGATAGAGATACATTCTGGACTGAAAAGGGAGCAGTAGATGAAATCTGATACAACATGAAAAAAAAAAGTGACGGGAGAAACTAGATAGCAATCGAAGGTATGCTGCTTGTTGTAGTAAAAAAAGTGGGGACTATCAAGTAAAGCTACTAAAAAATAGGACTAAGAATAAAAGGATAAGAAGAAAAGAGGACGTTGTTTTTCATGAAATAAAATCCCACTGTCAAAAGATGATGCAAAAAGATAGAATATATGCAAGAAAGTCTAGTTCTTAGGAGTGGTTTTGGCTTAAAAATTAATCTCTTCTCCAGCTTGAATTTTTTGCTGAAGGATACATACTACCAGATGTGAAACAAAGTGCTATGACTTGCATATTTAGCATACCACAGACTGCTTCTGCTAATGTGAATCAACAAGTTTTACCCTATTTCAACTGCTAAATCAATGCAAACTCATTTCAAAGTAAGGAAGTATCACATCTGACAAAATAAATTAATTTAGACTACTACAGATACTTAATGGCTGGGAAAGGAGGCTTCCCGCAGCTGCCCATAGAAGGCTTCGTCCACTTCCGACCAGGACGAGGAAGTGGACGAAGCCTTCTATGGGCAGCTGCGGGAAGCCTCCTGATCACAGGCCCTGGTCCTCCTGGGGGACTTCAACCACCCAGATATCTGCTGGGAAAACCACGTAGCCAGGAACAGACAGTCCAGGAGGTTCCTGCAGAACATTGCAGATAACTTCTTGACGCAGGTGGTTGAGGAGCCAACAAGGGGAGGGGCACTGCTGGACCTGATACTAACAAACAGAGATGGTCTAGTGGAAAATGTGAGGGTTGGGGGCAGTCTGGGCTGCAGCGACCAC